TACGTACTCTGCATACCGAAAATGGCAACTGTAAACGTAAGGGGAAAACGACTACGAGTATAATATAAACATAGTTGTGTTATTAGCACATCCCTGTTAGCTGATCGGGTCTCATAGGCTATAGTTTCTGGACCTCTTATGTTTCAGCTCAAATTTAAGTAATCTTAATTGAGCAATTTTGCAAGAGGAGAGCTCATGTTGACATCATTTCCAACTCTTATCATGAAATACTTTTTTTATATATCTTAACGTGATAACTTTTGCAAATGAGCGGGTTCATATTAGGGCTGGCCATACTTTAACGCTTATTTAGACCTCAGCTTATTCAATCTCAAAAATTTTCCAAATCCGTCTAACTCATCGTAAAAGGACAGAGCTAGCGATTATATTTTATTAGCATCTATATTTCAGCTTTGTCAGCTTAGCAACACTGTCTAGTGCCAATGACTTTTCCGAATTTTCTTAAGGCGTATATCCTAATTTGACACAGAAAAATATTGAAAACTTTGTCTAAAACGTCTCAGCAGATAAGAAAAACAGGCTTGGAGCACTTCATGCTGCATCTATCAATGAACACCTCTTATTAAATTACTATTTCGACTTAGTCTCTTCCCTTATTGCCATTCATTTTATATGAATGAGAAAAAAAAGCTGACGCTCTTAATTTTCACAGCGATCTTGTAATTCTAAATGTGACGACTATTCGCTCAAAGTTGCTTCATATTTAGACGTAATACAAGATATGTCTGAACATGCGATCACTTATTATTCTGTTATCATTAATTCTTTTATTTTCGAATCTCTTCGAGGCTGATGAATTGAAGTTTGGGCTTAAGCTAGATTTGCACAAATTTGCATCGTGTTTCCATCTCTATAGCGAATAAAACACAGCACAAAGGTCTTTCAGAGGTGCAGTAGTTTATCCAAAGTACAGTGGAAATGGCCCGATTAGGTTAAGTAGCACAGAGCTAAATCTAAGAGTAACCGTTCAAAATAAATCGCTAGGCTCAAAAATGATTTGGAAATAAAGGAGTCAATAACTCAGAAGTGACCTTTAGGGCGCCTCCTATTCACATCATGCTTGCATCTCATGAAATACTAAATGAATAATTTCAGCTTGAAAAACTCACTTTTTGTTCGTTGGTCTCTTGTCGGTTATTGGTTCACAAAAGTTTTTCAAATGCTGCGATAAAAAATCGAAGGGTAGTGAACCTCGGTA